ACTTCGATGCGACAAGGTGGCACACTCGTTGTAAAGTATGTGGACAGAGGGGGATAAATAAGTAGACACAAGTGGACACCGTGATTACGCGCGGGGAAATTCAAGGAGCGTAATTGATTGTGCAAGAGTAAGTGGCATTTATGACGATGCTCGATAGGAAAATGGAGCTGCGGCGGAACGTGAATTAAACATCGAGACTACGGTAGATTTCAAATAGTGAAATATTCATGGCGGCAGCCGGAAGTACAATATCCCAGAATATCGAGGTAGTCTTCGTTGCTCAGGTGTTAGTTAGATTACTTCGTAGAAAAAAAATCTCGAAGAAATTTTTCAAAAAGTGACGTGATTAAGAAACATGGAATTTTAACTATTCTGGTTACGAATAACTATTAAAGACGATTAAAATTTTTGTTGGCTACCAATAACAATTATCGATGGAAATTTTTTTAGTTGCGACTAACCATTATTGGCTACGAAAATAATATTGGTTATAAATAACTGTTATCAATGACGGAAATTGTTTTTGACTGCACGTAAGCATTATTTAGTAAAAATTTATCAATACTTTGTTCCACCATGTCACCAAAATGTTTGGTTAACGCATCCTTTGACTTGAAGCTAAGGATTAATATTTAAAGAGAAAATGTTTGATGGAATAAATTTAGTTTATTACTGTCGTTAATTTTGTTAAAAGAGACGTTGCTGACTCGACCGACGTTGTGCAAGGGACTTATTTGGTATTGAAAGTGTTAAACATCTGCAATTTAAAACAGAAAATGAAATAATATGTAGATAAGTTATAAAGAAATGTAAATAAATTTACATTGCCCACAAATGATATTTCAGATGAACAAATAAAATGAATATATGGTGATGTATAAGAAAACAAGTGCAGTTTTCACTCCAGGACAGAGTTTTCTATATTGAAATGTCGAAAGTGACGATGAGTGGTTACGTCTGCCTTTTCATTTGAAATATTTGAGACCGGTTTTATATCATTGCATAACTGACGAAATTCACGCAAAATCACACAACTTTCTATGCCATTCCTACCTCCTTCGGATATTAAACACATCGAATTAAGAGAGACGACCAGACGACCGGAAGTGAAGCAAATTTGTATTCACTTTAATTAATGTATTCAAAAGACATAAGTTAATCAACTTTTGTCGCTACGTTAATGAACAAGACTGTTCATAATTATGGAAATGTAAATAAGAAAAAATTAATTTGCTCTATTATATATTTTTTATATAAATTATGCCTTAAAGGGATCGTTTTAGACACCTTTCCCCTACTTTTATACACAGAATACGCCAATCTATCGAAGTCGAGCATACAAAATTTGGCATTCTAATTAAAAAAACAAAGGTGACCTCTAGATCTTTTCTACGCCTCCGCTTGCAAGAATACCATTTATACCATATTATGTACTTTCTTAAACCCTACAACTTCTTACAGTAACATTTTCTCGTATTGTTTGAAATAACCAAGATATTTAAGTGGACAGAGTTCGTGAGACACACTGTATACGCTATAAATGCATAAAATGTAAAATTTATTTGTACTTCGATTCACGATTGAACCATAAACCCCAATGGCGGCGTTATTCACGAGGATCTAAACTTGAGAACTCTATGGGATCGAACCACGGCCCGCAACGCGTTTCTCTTTCGTATTTTCTTCTACCCAGCAACCATCGTTCGACAGTGTTTTCCGTGTTATGGCAAACAGATCTGATTTGAAACGGTCCTCCTGAAACTTTCTCGAACGACGAGAGTTGCGCCTTTTTTTTTTTTTCATTCTCCGAAGGAAAATGCGCGTGCCGCATTCGACGGCCGTGAACGATGGAAAAGTGTAATTTCAAACGCTCGCGCGAGCTATGTTCCCGCCGTGTATTTCCGCGATCGAGATACACGTGGAAGTTTTTTACCGGCTCGTGCAGTATGTATTTGCCAGTTTTACCATCGCCTGTATTCACTTTCTTCCTCTTCGCGTTTCTCAGTTTTCGAATCAATTTACGGGATACCGTAAATATCCACCGTGTACTATTTTGAAATTAACATTGATATCGATATTATATTTTTAATTGCGTAACATATTGTACTGTTTCGTCGCGAAGTATAGCAATTTGGATTCTCCGACAAAAGATCCAACGTGATGTCACTTTAAATCGTTGAAATGCATTTCGTAGCGAATAATTCAAACTTTGAAAGTATTGTTTAATAAACTCCATCTAATCTTTGAATGGAAAAAAAGTATGAAAATTTTAATCCACATAATTGAAATCGCTACAAACGATACATGCTACTTTTCGTGGCAAATTACCCAGACACAGTGACAGATGAAATATGTTTGTTTTCGTAGCCAATTATTCAAAGATTCTACTTCCCGCGGCGAAAAACAAAACGTGATATTTCTCGTGACTACGAAGGCAAACGTGTTGTTTTTCGTGAGAAAAATGAAACGTGCTATTCTTCGTAACGCATATTGATGTATTACAGCCAATACATATGGCGAATAGTTCCTGGAAAGTTTCTATAAAAAAAAAAAGAAAAGCGTACATAGGTGTTTGTATCGTATGTAAAAGATGTCAATTTATCAAATCTATAGCATTCGTTTCCTTTTCCGCTACTTTCGCTAGCCTAGTGCAGCAGAACCACTTGAACTAGTATTCCTCTAATTGTTTTGAACAATCAAACTAATTACAGGATACGATGAACATATTTTTAAACCCGTTTTAATTCCACAAAACATGCATTACTCGATATTTCTGACACAGTAAAAATACACAAGAAAAATTGGTAATTCTGTTTCGCTATGTTTATGATATTTTCAAAAATAATCATTATATTACGTGATATTTAACGCGTTGAAAAGATAAAATGACAATTCACGGAAATGTTAGGCAAAATTTCAATCTGATTAATGAATTAACGAATAAAAAGTGAAATCCGTGTATATTCATTATTCTCGAATAATATACAATTTATTCCATTTACAACAGTACGATTCTTTCCTCAACAAGATCATCATAATATTCCACATATATTAATTTGAATTATTTGTCATTATGACAAAAGAAAAGTATTTGTACTGATTCGGATTACGGTATTGATGAAATGACATCTAATGAATAGTTTCTTAGATTATTAGAATGAAGGAATCAAATGGTTACAAATTTACCAAAACAAAATTCCACAGTTAGTGTTAATAAATAATTCGCATAATAAATAAACGAATAACAAATAATTATTTACCGTGTTTTTCTATCAAATAAAAGTTTATTGCAATTATGCCCGAAGCTAGTTCACGACACAACCTTTAATTCGTTCGATAATGGCCTGGTTAATGGCGAAATAGTACGTCTGCTTCCTGATCTTCTACTAAAATCATTTTCACGGTCATGAAGGCTCGTAACGACGGCGAAGAACAGAGGACAGAAGGAGAGAGGGATAGAGAGTGAGACAGAGGCAACACGTAACGTAACCAACTGGGAGCCTCGTAGAAGGAAACGAGCGTGGCAGAGGTTTACATCGGTGAAACACTTTCTCCTTTCCCCCGTTATGAGATCACCATCTCGGTTTTCCAACGGCGACGACATAACTTCGTCAATTTGTTGCTCGGAGTTAACGGCGACGATGCCGCTAACCCGTGGCCGGCGTTAAATTAAACCTAGTCAGCCGAGTAACTCGGCCGGCCGGTAATTAAAATGCTTGATATTTCCTGCAGCTTTCTTCTTCCTTCCTTCCGTATCGTCCGACCTGCAATCACATTCCACCCAAACACGAATCCACTCACGCTGATTATTTAGAGCTCTGTTTATTTATTTTCCATTAACGATTGAAAAACGTTAAATGCCTGATGTGGATAACAAGGCGCAAAAATTCAATTGGAAATTGTTAGAAGTCGATTGCTGGTTCAATGAAAGTCCTTCGATTGTGAAAACTGTCCCAAATGGTACGACGGAAGTAACTAAGTGTTTTGAATTACCTAGCCGACATTTTGGTTCTAGATTGTTTCCTGTGTAATATTCTATCTGGTTAGCATAAAGGTTTCCTTTTATTACGATATAAAAGTTATTTCTCACTTTTGCAATTATTATCACTGAATTTCTGAGAAATTTTCACCCCAAAAAATGTTGAATTAATGTTAAGTTTCAATCTGCTTTTACTCTCTTCGAGTTTTTTGAATCATACGAAATTCAAAATCTCAATTCATTCATGATTATCTTTTTAAAATTCACAAAATAGAATTTAAAATAATAAAGATTAAGCCTTTCTATGATGGGAATGCAAATACTTAATACATACTTTGTTATACGTACGATGTTAGCAGATTTAAACAAAAATAAAATGATTGCTAAGATCATATTTAATTCTTCATAATGAACAACGTTTGAAGAAATTTTTTGTCGGAATCCTAGATGGTTCCAATTCATTCGAAAACTATCTCTGCTAAGTACGAACTCAAGTAAACGACAGGGTAACATGCCCTTACGTTTAGCTGTTTTTTCAAACAAAAAATTCACTGTTTCTCAATTTCACTTTAACATACTTAATGGTCTGGTTAGGCGTTATTATTAAATTCGTCCCAATTTAATTGTTCCTCGTTTCATTTGAGAAAATCAAGTTGACCTTCAAACGACCTTGAAAACAAGATACTAAAACTACCCCCTGATATTTTTATATTTTACACACAAGTAATAGTATAGTAATTAGCAAAATAATGATAAGTTATCTAGATTTCTGATTCTTACTATTCATTATTTCATTACAGAAAGACGAAGATCTCCATGAACGATCTGGCAAGGGTGCTAGGGACACGATGAAGAACACTCACATCTACGCACCGTTCGCAGTACACAGGATCGAGAAAATCGGCACGCGACCACCAGACATTTTCTAACAATCGAACACCGCGACGCGCGTAATGAGACGCAAGCTATCAAAGACACGCGAAAGCCTGTTAATTCGTTCGAAATTTCAATTTAAAGAAGGATGGTTTTCAGCACGATAGTAGTTACATCGGCCTTGAAGGGTGCCCTGGGACTAATGGGCACAAGCCTGTGGCTGATTCCTTTGTTGATAGCAGGCCTGTCCTATTACCGTTACGATCAATTGGATCCGGAAAGTCGGCCCATCGACAGATACCCTTTGCACCCGGAATACGACTTCATCGTGGTGGGAGGAGGATCATCGGGGGCGGTAGTCGCCAGCAGACTTTCGGAAATTCCGAATTGGAATGTGTTGTTGCTCGAGGCCGGTCCAGATGAGAACGAGGTAACCGACGTACCCTCGTTGGCGGCTTACTTGCAATTAACGAAACTAGACTGGAAATACAAGACCGAACCAACCGGGAGAGCTTGCCTGGCGATGAAAGGTGGTCGATGCAACTGGCCTCGTGGCAAAGTTCTGGGTGGATCCAGTGTCCTGAACTACATGCTCTACGTTCGCGGGAACCGACACGATTACGATCACTGGGAATCGCTGGGTAATCCTGGTTGGGGATTCGACCAGGCGTTGTACTACTTCAAAAAGTCCGAGGACAATCGGAATCCCTATCTTCAGAAGAGTCCTTACCATTCCACAGGTGGCTACCTGACGGTACAGGAATCGCCGTGGAAGACACCTCTGGTGGTGGCTTTCGTTCAAGCTGGTGTCGAGATTGGGTACGAGAACAGGGACATAAACGGGGAACGTCAGACGGGATTCATGATAGCCCAGGGCACCATTCGCCGAGGTAGCAGATGCTCCACGGCGAAAGCGTTTCTTCGTCCTGTTAGGCTGCGACGGAACATTCACACGGCTATGAACTCTCACGTCACCAGGGTCTTAATCGATCCTATAACAATGCGAGCAACTGGCGTGGAATTCGTTCGAGATGGCCGCAGGCAGATCGTCCGAGCGCGAAAGGAAGTGATTCTTGCGGCCGGTGCGATCAACAGTCCTCAGATCCTGATGCTCTCCGGTATAGGCCCCAAAGACCATTTGCAACACGTTGGTATTCCGGTGATAAAGGATCTGCCGGTCGGTGAGAACCTTCAGGATCACGTTGGAATGGGTGGCTTGACGTTCCTCATCGATAAACCCGTGGCTATAGTGCAGGACCGCTTCCAGGCCGCTCCAGTAACGATGCACTACGTGGCTAATGGCAGGGGTCCGATGACAACCCTTGGCGGCGTCGAGGGCTTTGCCTTTGTCAACACAAAATACGCGAATCAATCGATGGATTATCCGGATATTCAGTTCCACATGGCACCCGCGTCGATAAACTCCGACGCGGGGATTCAAGTCAGAAAGGTTCTCGGCATCACCGACGAGGTTTACAACACCGTCTACAGGCCTATAGCGAATAAAGACGCCTGGACCATAATGCCTCTTCTTTTAAGGCCCAGATCGCGTGGTACAGTTCGATTGCGGAGTTCCAATCCTTTTCACAGCCCACTGATCAACGCAAACTACTTTTCCGATCCTTTGGACATCGCTACTCTCGTCGAAGGTGCTAAACTCGCTGTGCGCGTCAGCGAGGCGAAGGTTTTCAAACAATTCGGGTCGAGGATGCATCGCGTCAAGCTGCCAGGCTGCAAACATCTGAAGTTCGCCACGGACGCTTACTGGGAGTGTCATATTCGTCATATCTCCATGACGATCTATCATCCTGTTGGAACCACGAAAATGGGACCACCCGACGATCCAGAAGCTGTCGTCGACTCGAGACTGAGAGTCTACGGTATAGGAGGACTGAGAGTGATTGACGCTTCTATTATGCCGAGGATTTCCAGCGGAAACACAAACGCCCCGGTCATTATGATCGGTGAGAAGGGCGCGGATCTTATAAAAAACGATTGGTTGACTTTCGAGACCAGGAAACTCTGACAATCCGATTTTCCTACATTTCCGGAACAGAACGCGGTGAATAAGTGTTGGTGGAAGTGTTTAGTGCCGAACTTATGTGTGAGAATGTAAGGCACGATCATATCTGTGTGAAATATGTATGTAGTGTAAGTCAAACGAAAGTTGGACGCTGATGTTGTGGTACGTTGAACTGTTACTGTTGGACATTTTATTATAAAAATAACTGACCGGTGCTAGACTTGTACATACACCCACGAGCAAACTCGACTTCCGCTAGGGAAAAAAGTGGCGTAGGGAAAAGACTTTCTACCATTTGAATTTGGACGTTTCTGAAATTTATTCCAAATTACCATGCATTTTAACATTTATTTCAGTACTTGAAATAAATTTACTAAATGCTAGGAAGCCCTTATCCTACGTCACTTTTTCTCTTCCTTGTTATTAGAGCCACACTCTTCTGACAATTGGAATAATTCGTGACGTCAACTGATCAATCATGAATGTATACAAGGAAAATAATTTATTGTACTTTTTCTTTCAGCTGGACGTGTGGAGGACATATTAATGTCAAATTTGTTTTTTTTTTTTATAGAGTCATATAGTTTTTAATGAGTTAATTAATACAATTCGTCATTCCTCATAAAGAAGTATAACACTATTTATGCCAAAAGACCATTAGGTTAGGAGATATTTTAATTTACGTAAAGTTAGGAAATTACGATATAGTTAGTACGCGTGACATCTACTATTTTTATGCCTGTATGCATGGCATCTGAACAACACAGGTTATTTAGAGACCGAGTAAGTCTCTGCGTTCAAGCCGAAAGACGTGCCTTTGAATATCAATTTCATGAAAGTAAACATGATATTACTAATACTACCTGGTAATATTAAAACTAAAATATTTCCTAAACTAATGGTCTCTTAGCATAAATAGTTTTTTTTTTATAGGGCATGACGAGCTGCATCGACTAATGCATCAAAAAATATATATGATTCCATTTGAAAAAACAAATTGGACCTTCTTATGTCCTCCACACGTCCAGCTGAAAGAAAAAATACAATAAATTATTTTCCTCTCGGAACCATTTAATTTTTATTTGAAACATTTCTCGGTATCATCGATGTTTTTGAAGATATTTATGGGGATCGATTTAAATGTCTCACCTTGTATAAATGAAGTATCACGAATTACCATTCATATATTATAATGAATCGTTGTGGAACGATCCCCTGAAGTACTGTATGTACATTCGTCACATGTGATTCATGTAGGTATTAGAATGATAGAAAATAAATGACCTATCAGACAAGTCCGCGTTATTATGAAAAAGTGTTGAACTTTTTTCGTTCTTTATGTTGATGTGTATTAGACATTATAAAGCTGACATTAATGCTCGAACGATGTAAATGGCAACTGGTCATTTATTTCCCACCGATTTAACATATATCTGAGCTTATCTAGGCCTGTAATTTTCGAATAATATAACAACACGACGCAATGATCTATCAATCGGATATCACAGCTCAGATGTACTCTATTTACATGAACTAATAAGTGAAAAACGTTTATCAATGATAATGGTCATTACAAATTCTCTTAATAGTACTGATTTAAAGACATTTTCTTCTTTAAGAAGAAAATTGACATTGTTGGAGGCTGAACCAAACAAAGGCGATAAACTTCTAATTTCTGAAAATATTTTCTTTAATGTTGTATTGGTTACCAATTATCATCAGAACAGTGAACGCGTCTGCCGCTTCGATCGATCGAACGGACACAAGCGGACCAATTTTCCGCCAACTCCCACACGATGTGACTAAAGCTTCGATGAGCCTATCCTTTCCGCCAGCGTGTACATGGTAATAGGAACAAGTACTATTGAACGCAATGTACATAATGTATATAGAAATAAGGCGTTGTTATCATCATTGTAAATGTTATTGTTAAGATGTTCGCAGAAAATGTGAACGGAGAAAGACCTAGGAATTTCTTCGAGTTTCAAAAAAATCTTCGATTATAACATTTGTTTTAACACTAGAAGTGCCAAAGCAGTCAAAATGAGTACTGGTCAAATTGTCGCTTCAGCCAAATAAAGATAGGTATCTTTGTATATTTTTCACCGAATAATGAATGTCTGCGGTCTCTCCGATTTAGAAATTGCGGTTTGAAAGGAAATCTTTGAATATTATTGTATGAGTCTTGTTCAAATAAGGAAATTACACATGAATATTCAGATTGTTATTTTCATCCTTTAACTCATTCCGTGCAAAGGTTGGACATTTCCAATAAATATATACGTTCATCCGCCGTCGTTTTCCTGCATTGAGAAACACAACAGTTTCTGTAGATCTTAAAGATTAAATACCTTAGATTAAATACTTAATATCAAACTGAAAAATATGCACGGTCGATATTGTAATTAGAATGAGTTGTTTTTTCGCAACACTTTATGCAAAATTTGTAATATTTCAATTTATCTTCGGTTACGATATTGTTTAACAAATTATTCTTAACAAAACTGACATTTATCTCAGGTTAATTCTTGCTGTCTAAGTGCCATAATTTGTACCGTTGTTGTTATAAAACTGTAATTAAATAAAGGACCATAAAATAACTATTTCATATACATTTTTTTGTTTTCGTGCAAAGTTTAATGCGCCGTTTAAATGATAAATTTGATAAAATACACAATGCTACGAAAGGTTAAACCTGTTGAAATCAATTCTGGCAAACTTGTTAATTTCATACGTATACCGATTGTATAAGTGATTAGTTACAGAACAATGAGATCGTCTAGGGAACAATGTACAAAAGTCTACCTCCAATTTTAACCTTAGTTTCAATACGCACATTCTGATGGCGGAAGACCCTGGAAAAAGAAACTTATGCAGGTAAATACCCTAAAATGAATCATCGCTGGACCAGAATGGATCATGGAAATTTCTGAGAAATTGATCACGAAGCTAACGATAAGTTAGAAGAAAATTTCGAAAACTTATATTATGACATTAATCATATAATACTCTTCACTCTACATAGGAAGGATCATATTGAACAATACATCGAGTTACCTGTTTCTTAAATAAAAATATAAGATTGAAGTGATAAAAATAGCATTACAAAGCTTTACATGTAACTTGAAATAAGTATTTCATTATTTTAAAGTATTTCCTTCCTTTAGTTCAATTTCAACACACTCATAGACGTTTCCAAACGATAAAAAAATTCTACAAATTAAATGAATGAATACCTAATTTTTAAAAATTGGAGTTAGAAATTAGAATAAAGAGTAAAATTAAAAAATGTCTCTGAATATAATTAATGCCAATCTAATAGTCAAAGTACTCAATATACAGTTAATACATAGATATTTATATTTATTTTTTTATTTAAAACATACATTTATATTTCCTGTTTATGTATACAATATTTGGATTCAATATTTATTTCATATTAAAAAGTGTGGCTAAAAAAATATTTTTTCAATATTTTTGTGCTACGAGATATGTAGTAGTTTATTCATAATTGAGAAATCACTCTTATTCGAAATCGATAGATTATTTCTATGTCAATTCTGAACGTTCCTATCATTCACATGTTACACTTTCGATTCACAGATGACAGTATTGAGGTTTCAAGCTTAATTACGTTTAACCGGAGTTCCTTTCTTGACCTGACGGAAATACTTCTGACGTGTTCTTTCGTGCGAAATTCCATTGCCCCTCTCAAAGTACGTCAAGAATCACGTTATCGTCTTTTCTTTTTGATACAATAACAAAAATGTACCACCTCCCAAGAACTTTATTTTTTAAGAAAGGTAATATTTTAATAAACAAGAAATGTCCATTGTAAAACGATAATTTACTATAATAAGTACGATAAAGGGCGTGATAAAATAATAATAACGGGGGATTGGTAGTAAAGAGAACGAAAATTATATCTTAATCGAATAGAATATGTTTAAATTTAAAAAATCAATATTGGCAACCAATTCATTAATAAACAATAACGATAATAATAAAATTTCATAAAATTTTCATTACTAATCACCCAGCGTGTACACAATTCGTCATTCCGTAATATATTCCTAAGCCCCATAACCATCCGAACATCTACTGAATAATCATGCACATAAACGAAACCAGCCGAGCTGTAATAATAAATCATAAACAGATAATTTTAACATCGATACACGTAAACTGTAATCGCCACACAAATATGAAAATAACACCCGGTCATATTCATGGGGAAAAAAGGACACCGTCGCATCGCGTCTGTGCATATATACGCCGACCGATGGCGAGAAGCTCTCATTTCCAATTTTCCTGCTAAAAACCGTTCAGTATGAACCGGAACGTCATCTCGATCTTCGGAGTTACGCGTATTCTTTTCCTGGTGCTCGTTCATTGCGCGATTTTCGATCGTCGGTCGCACGTATGCGCTCAACGTAAACAAAAGTACGCGAATCTCTATGGCTTCGACGACTTCAACTCCTCCATGACCGATAACATATTCGGCGCGGGAATGGGCGCGTTGAATTTTCTCTACAACGATCAGCTGTACCAGCAGAAAGCTCAGCCGGACATGACGCCGACACCGAACTCCCAGTACGACTTCATCGTGGTCGGGGCTGGGACAGCCGGTGCTACGATAGCCTCCAGGCTCAGCGAGATCAGTGATGCTACAATTCTTTTGATCGAGGCAGGTCCCGAGGAGACCTTGCTAATGGACATTCCCATTCTGGCGTCGTTCCTGCAGGACGTGGACGAGATCAATTGGAAATACGAGACAGAACCGTCCGATCGATACTGCATGGGGATGAGGGGCCATAAATGCAAGTGGCCCAGAGGCAAGGTGATGGGCGGCAGTAGCGTTTTGAATTACATGATCGCCACCAGAGGTAGCCCGAAAGACTACGACAATTGGGCTAAAATGGGCAACACTGGCTGGGCTTACAAGGACGTGTTGCAGTATTTCAAAAAGCTCGAGAATATACTGATACCCGAGCTAAGAAAAGACAAAAAGCATCACGGCACGAAGGGTCCAGTTACCATAGACTACGCACCTTACCATACCCCTCTGCTAGCCGCATTTCTAAATGCTGGCCAGGAATTAGGTTATCCACTGGTGGATTATAACAGTGAGAAGTTGATCGGGTTCTCGCAGATACAGTCGAACACATGTGAAGGATACCGAATGAGCAGCAATAAAGCGTACCTTATGGGAAAAGGACGGAGGAACCTTCACGTGACGAAGATGAGTATGGTGCAGAAGATACTGATAAACAAACGAAGCAAACGAGCGATCGGTGTACAGTTCATGAAGAACAATCGTCTCATATCGGTTTACTCTAGGAAAGAAGTGATACTGTGCGCGGGAGCTATAGGATCCCCTCAACTGCTCATGCTGTCCGGGGTCGGTCCTGGCGAACACTTGAGGAAACTCGGAATAAATGTGATCAAGGACTCGCGGGTTGGTGACAATGTCATGGATCACATAGTATACGGTGGATTAACGTTCACGATTAACCAGCCGGTCAGTGTTCTAATGTACAACATGTTGGACCTATCGAAACCCTACACAAAACCGGTCCGTTCACGATCAGTGGCGGTTGCGAGGGTATCGCTTTCGTGGACGTGGACGATCCGAAAAATCGCCACGGGATTCCAAATATAGAGCTGATCTCTCTAGTTAGTTCAATTTACACGTACAAGGCGACGATGGACAATTTCGGGTTCGACAAAGAGATTATGGACAAATTTTCGTCGTTCCAAAGCACCTACTCGTGGGGAATATTCCCGATGTTGCTGCGCCCGAAAAGTCGCGGTCAGATACGATTGAGGTCTAGTGACGTGAACGTTAAACCGCGAATCGTCGCGAATTACCTGAACGATCCGGAAGACATAAGAGTTCTGGTGAAGGGAATCCGTGTAGCCCTGAAGGTTAGCAGAACGGAATCTATGAGGAGGCTCGGCGTGACGTTTTACAACAAAACAGTGTCCGCGTGTGAGAAATATCCCTTCGATTCGGACGACTATTGGCTGTGCAACTCCAGAATGCAGACCCTAACTATTTATCATTATTGCGGCAGTTGTAAAATGGGCCCAGCCACCGATCCCACCGCTGTCGTCGATCCGACTTTAAAGGTACGACAAACACAGAAATTCCGATTCGCTTCAGTTTCATTTACAGATCAGTGAAGTGTGCAGGCAAGTTTCGAGATTTTAACACTTCACAGTCATTTTATAATTGCTCGAGGAATGAAGTTTTCAAGAGAAGAATTTACTTTTTCTTGGAAGAATTTATATGAACACAGTAAACTGCGAAATTATAATTATTTGGGTACGAAGATTCTGAATTCAGAATAAATACAATTTTTATTATAAATACATTACATTCTTAGATTGTAACTTAAAGGAAAAATAGAAAGAAAAAACATAAAGATATTAAAAAGAAAAGGAAACAGTGTGAAAAATTCTTCCATACCGACCAATTAACGGGAATGTAAATCAGGGAGATTACCGATCACTTAAAGGTTACCATTAGTTCACTTATCTTTTACGTGCGGTAACGATACATCGGAGCCTATAAAACCTGTCTCGTACGCGCCGTTAATAGATCAATTAATGATATTATACAAAAAACTAATTAGATCACGGCTAAAACATTATGACAACTTTATTGGTACAAAGTATTAAACTTTCACTCGAGCTGATTAGTTACGTAGTATAAACTGCAACAAAGTTCATCGTGTTATAAAACGTGGAAAGTAATTTTCGGTTACAATCACCATAAAATGTTATTACCGGTGTAATTTTCCAATGTTACAGGTGATCGGAATTAAAGGATTGAGAGTGGCTGACGCGTCGATAATACCGGAAATACCAACGGGACACACGAATATTCCGGTGTTCATGATTGCGGAGAAATTGTCGGACATGGTTAAAAAAGAATGGGGATATCTGACCACCTAATTATCATGCCAATTGTCAGAATTAACGTTGGCCATACGGAAGATCATTTCCATACCATCCTGTTTTATACGTTACATGTTGCTTGCTTAACTCTTAATTACAGACCCCTCGTCTCAGAGACGAATTTGAAGTTTACTTTCAGTATCACCAGCTAGTGGAGAATTTTGGAAGCTCTAGGCGTGTTTGAGTAGCTTCAATTGACAGTACGTGGAGCCCAATTTCCAAGACGATAACGAAAATTAACATTCGGTTGGTTGTTAAAAGTGTTACACAAAGTTAGTCGTTGTCGGATTATTCATCTCTGAGACGATTGTTTTATAGTTTAGTTAATATAGAGGACATACAGACGTTGACTGATTTTGTTACAGGAAGGAAGACTCGGATTACTGTTACAAGTAAATGTCTCTTAAAATTAACAAATAAACGATCACTTGAGTCCATGCAATTTTTATTGTTCTTTCACGAGTATATTAAAAGATCTCGTTATACAATATATATGCATATTTATACGTGCATTACTGCGTAACTTCCTTCCTTTTCTCGTTGCAATTAAAACATTCCGCGCCGCTCAATGTTGGAACATTGAAAAAAACACTGAATTATACTTTACAACGGGTGGGTACGTACTTTCTCAATGCAAATATGACAGGCCAATTCATTCCGATAGAATTTTAATTCCAGTCAGAGTAAATTTCTTTTCAATTTGTGATTTCACTTTCGAATTTAAATTGCTAACGAATTTGAAACTAATTATGTAACGCACATCGGAAGTAGGCGCCAACCATTGATTTAGTACGAGAACTCACTAAGATCTAATCGAAGTTCATTAATTTTTAAATCAAGTTTAAAACTGTATATTTTTTATTTTATGCGACTGAGTAATATTACCGTAAATTTAATGTTACTTTTAGTAGATCGAGAATAACTTGGATCAGATTTATCTTTTTAAAAAAAGAACCTTATGAGAAGAGAGCAATTTTATTTATACTTTCGAATTTATTAACTGTGTTCAAAATATTCGTTTTGCATACAGATCTGGAGTAACGAGATACGTAGTAAGATCGAAATATTTCCGACTCAACCCTGATATGAAAGAGAAAAATGAAAGGTACTAGTCTTATTTTTCAATGTTTATGCAAATATATTGAAATACATGGAAATTATATTGCGAAATGAAAAAGCTTTTTTTTTATTTTATTCCAGTGCGTCAGGGATAGGCTGGAAACTCTTGCACCTTACCACGTAATTACGTTCTCTGATTATGCACGTCGACTCTTATAATTAGAAATACAGTTTATAACCCATTAGTGGTACATTCTATTATAATTAATGAATGTCTACGTAGACAACGTGATTCACAAACATATCATTTCGATGTACTTTAACTGCAGATATTCATGCAAATTTGTCCTATGTACATATGTATTATGAAATGATCCCAGCATGTAGAATTTAAAAAATATTTATGTCATTCATTAAACAATTTATTAAGTTAAACTGAAAATTTGAAACCTACTATTGCTTGTCAGAAAATTTATTTCTGTATGATTCACATGCCTGCATATTCTATAAATGCATAAGACACGTGGTCTAGTTATAATTAATATCAGAGAAAATGTTGTGCTTTGCATTAGGATGTCAAAGTTGCACAGAAATACAATGTAAAAAGATAGTGTAAATTTCCCCAGACAAAATAAGCAGTTCATAAAAATTTCTCCAACATTTTTGGATTTTCATTGGAGTGATTTATTAACTAAAATTTTGTTAAATAAACATACCCCTTACAAAAAAAAAAATAGAATAAACCTGCGACAACTTGTAATCCAGGGATTTCTCTGATAAAATGAATAGTAACTGGTAATTTATTTAATCTTATGTTTGCAATTCCTCTCATGCAGGATTATATAAGACCACATAACCCAGTTTTCAATCCGGTCATACCTGTAACTGGTCATACCTGTAACATTTCAAGTTTCATGGGATTTCTTTTCTTCAATGTTTGTATGATATTAAAATAAACATACAAAAAATGTAGATTTTGCCATCGATAAATAGTGAACAACAATTTTTTTAATTCTTCATCACTCCTCGAAAATTTTTAACTACATAACAATGTCACCCATCTGTGTTTACTATACAATAAATGTACATAATTATTTTACTTAGTTATTTTGCTGGCTCAATATTTTTCTTAATACATCTTACGCTCGACATTAACCCTTTAACGCGTAGACCCCTAAATCGTTATTTGAATATTATGAGACTGACATACATATACCTATATGTTGTATCCTGTTATTTTGAAGTAGAAAATATCGATATTACACAGACCGATTGTTTAAAGGTAAATTTAGCTGAGGCTTCGTGATTATTACTTTACAGAATTTGTACATTTAACTATTTATTACTTCGTTGTATCAATTTTTATCACTGGGTCAATTTGACACCGAGGGACAAATTAAGTTGGGAAAATGAGGGACGAATGATGGTTAAAATATAATTTTGAACTCGCTATACCGTGAAGTTTGAAACTGAAGATCATTCAACTGCATATCACTGTCCGTAAATATATGCATTCGTCGAGATTCATGCGGGATGCAATGAACGTTAGGAGGAATAATGGCGAATTTATTTGGTCCCAGTCCAAAATGACACGTGCGCGTCGCGCATGATTACGCTCGTGTATGGGAACAGCATACACGATATTCCGATCATAAAAGTGGAACGTGAGCGAGATAAAGCAGATGCAGCCTGGGTAACGGATGAAGACGAGGAGGGGTTGTCGACAATGTCCAAGTCAACATTACCCAAGTCCGGCAGGTATTACATGAGCGGACGCGAGAAAGCGCATTTCTCTAGTGGATCTCGAAGTGGAAAGTGGACACTAGGTCTTCAGAAGGAGTTTCGGCAGCCTCGCAACATCACCAGTTCTACGATAGCGGCGGAAGTCAACTTGTTAAGCCGTTCCAAGGATTATGGTAATAACAATTTGATAACGATACTGTTACGAAAAAGTTTGACATTAGGAAATGAGCAAATCGTTCGTTCGATTAATATTTACACTCCTTTTTAACAAAATCTTCCACGGCGCAGAGTAGCAAGTGCAATTTTGGATTTTTTATGGGTGACAAAGGTTCGACGATATTAAAATTTATTGTAGGTATAACGTCTATAGTTCAGTGATTTATTCTCGAGTTACACGATGTGGTTTGGTGCATGAATGAAAATATAGTCGTTTATCGGTGACTTGTTATGCATGGTGCAGTAGTGGAAGCGCGCGAATCTGACACATTGTCAATATTGGCTCATTCCACGTGATGTCAGGCATTTTTTGGGGTAATATTTCGAATTTTGTTGAAACTTGGGTATGTTGTATTCTTTAGTGATGTATAAACGCATTTCAAAGGATTTTACAAATTTTTTAAATTTGTTGATTTTACAATTTAACAAATTTTGAACAATCCTTCGAAATACGTTTATACATGACTAAAGACTACATATCCAAGTTCCAACAAAATCCGAAATGTTACTCCAAAAAGTGTCCGACATCGCGTGGAATGACCCTATTGCAACTCAACAAATGACTGATGTAAATTGGTTCATCTTGAAATTCACGGTCACAAATTGTGGTAGCGTAATTTGCTACTCATATCGATGAAAAATGTTACTTTTGGAAGTTATTTATCTTCATTCGCCTTGTTGAGACAAATAACACGTACCTACTGATTGCGACGTATCATCACAGAATTTTCAATATTCGAGAAAAAAAGTATATGCTGAATTTGCGGTTTCCTTTCTTTTCATCAAATTGATTAGATGAAAACGCACGTTGTAGCTTCAGCCCATTAGTGTTAATAAATTGTTCAGGACAACGTGACCAATGGATCACCCCATCAGAATTAATAAAGAACGTTGTGTTGGGTATACTCTACCTATGGCTGTCGCGCCAAAATTAATTAGTTAAATTGACAATTACTCAGCGAACGAGCGTGACAAAGCTAATCTAATATATTCCCAGCAGGTGTACCCTCGAAATTATTTTTAATAAGACTTGATGAAAACTATATAAAGGGTGTCCCACAAAACATTACTTACAAAAGTTGTATGATTGTAACAAAGACATAACATGGAGGCAATACTTTCTTTACAGTTGGAAGCATCGAAAAGATCTAGAGATCAGTTTTACTTTTTCCACATGGAATATCAAATGTTTCTGCACTCAAATTCCATAAAATAGCGATTTCTGAGCATAAAAATATTACAGTACATGTATTCTAAAACTCATTATTCCTGAGGTATTAGACTTTCTCCATCTTATTACTTCCAATATGAAACATGTTTGAAGCTACGCTGACTAAATTGAATGTAAACGTAGATAGAAAATATCGCCGGAATAATAAAAAAAATATTTAGAGATAATAAGAGACATGCGAGGAATTCAACGATTTACGTATTACAACATTGTACCGATCACGTGGTGGCATAATAACAGGATGGACAAAATCGAATATCTTGGTACTTATACACAAACTGCCGATGTTTATATGGTCTTATTTCTATAGACTATTCTGCAAACACCAGAAATAAAAAGAAGATTAATCATAAAAGTATTCCTTGTCGGATTATTCATCTCCGAGACAAGTCGTCCATAATCAAGGGTTAAACATCGTCAAATTTTTTACTGGTCCGCCGCTATTCGGCTTTCGAAGGATTTATGATAGGGTCTTCGGATGCCTATGGTCTTGAAAGAAGAAGCATGAAACTAAACAGATCTGGCGTCTGGTGATGGCGGTATGACCACATTGGTTCATCCAGCTATCGATGACGTAAGCTTCCTCATTCGGAAAAAGCACCTTGTATATCTATTAACCCTTCTGCAGGCAACGGGGTACCCATCTCTAAATTTCCTTGTACAATTGTTTGTGGTCTTGTCTAAAACAACACTTGGTATATCATAAGAAGGGAAAGCTAACACTTTCAGAAAAGTATGAAAGTAAAATTATGTATGTTCATCCAATCTGTCAGAATAGGAGTATTCCAATTGCTAAATAACCGTTAATATTTTCTTTGCCCAGACAAGGGTTAACAATGTTCTCCGACTTGTAACCAACATTTAAACATACACCAAGTGCATACAATTTACGAATTTATTATATTGCAGCAATATGGCTCGTCTATTGGGTGCACTACTGTTATTCGTCCTGGTCTCCCATGGAGAATCACAATCGTTCCTGGACGCGATGAGGAATTATGGACCACCGCCGCAAATAATAAACAGGATCGATCCCAACGATAATAGATACGACTTCATCGTGGTGGGCGCCGGTTCAGCCGGCGCAGTTCTGGCCAATCGTCTCTCGGAGAACAAAAAATGGAATGTTCTTCTTCTGGAAGCAGGAGGCCCCGAAACCCTTCTTCACCAGATTCCAATTCTTGTAGGGTATTTCCAATTATCGAACTTTAACTGGGGTTACAATGTGGAGCCTCAGGCAAACGCCTGTCTTGGGATGATCAATCGACAATGTTCCTGGCCACGAGGCAAAGCTCTGGGTGGCACCAGCACTCTTAACTACATGATCCACACTCGAGGAAGCAAGCTAGATTACGACGTCTGGGCTGCGCTGGGAAACGATGGCTGGTCATACAACGATGTATTGCCATATTATAAGAAAAGCGAACGATTCGACGTTCCAGGTATGATATACAATTCCAATATTTAACAATTGTTCGAAGAAACGTCTATCGTCCGTTCAATAGTTAGTCAAAATAGTGTTGAGCTTCGCTATTGGCTGACAACTTGTCGCCTAAGTTGTTCTAACTCCAATTTTCAAACAAATTTAGTCAATTAATTTACGTCTGATTCGTCCAAAGAATACAAATTCACCATAATATATCTAAAGAAAATTCAGCCTAGAAACCAATAAATATTCTTTTTAGTCCTAACTCCGAAACATTGAATGTTTTTTTTTTCTTAATAGTTGTATCTCCAAATATTAACAACAATTAAAAATTTGTGTTCATAATAAGTTACATTTTGTTAAATATTGTAATAAATAGCTATTTAGTAGATGGTATTATAGTGTGTTGGATTATTTTACTACTTTCTTGCTTGTATAATATATTTAAACTAGAACTACCGAACCTATCGAAATAAAGGATCGTAGATTTTTTATTTTACGATTATTGAAATTATAATGGTGTTTTTGGTGGACTTTATAGTGATTTGTAAATTCCTGTAGATTTTATGTTACACTATATTATGCTAAATTGTCCTGTAGATTATGTATATTATTATATTTTACAATATAATTTAGTATACATTCAATGCTGCTAATTCTAGTGTTAAAATTCGTAAACTTTAAACTCAGTTTTCTCAGTTTAGAAACTAGTGGAGATAGAACAATTAAGAGCTAAAGCAACAAACTATCTCAGTCCCTATCCCACCTAAATGGTCTTCACCTCCCTTTGTTTATAGTTACTAAATCGACTCGTTTATTAATTCTACTTGAAGAATAAATATTGTTGCTTCAAATATCTCGAAAAATTCCAGTCAGGTCAGTCGAGAAGTTTGAGACCCGCAACTGTTTCTAATATGATAGAGACTTTTATTAATAGCTCAGGCCTAAAGATGTCTATCCGACAAAGTAGTGAACACAATTCACACATGTAGAATAAGCGAGAATACTAGCGAGGGACCAGTTTTGAGACTTTGAATTATTTATTATCACATTTTTATCGAACTTTCGCCAATGAATTAGTGAGGTTCTACTAATAAATATTCAAGTATGACAAGAAATCGAGTAGAGTAAACCAACCAGTGAATGTACGAATTGTTGAATTTATGGACGTTAGGGATTAATACTTGAATGTATTTATTATAACAACAAAACAGCTGCTAAAATTGCAATTACATTTATTTTTCTTTCAATTTTTATAAAACTAATCATTCATTCATTCTGCGTCACTTTTTCCCCCTGGCGAAACCTGAGTTTGTTTGCGAGGGTACTTATCGTACAATGAAGCTGCAATGTATAGTAGGTAAAACTCAGTAATACACCAGATAATTAAATACCACGATCGTGTTCAGGTATCAAGAACTCAACGTATCACGGGGACAAAGGTTACTTGTGCGTGGAGCACGTTCCATACCACACGGACCTGGCCAAGGCGTTTCTGAAAGCTGGCCGTGAGCTCGGTTACAAGATTGTCGACTACAACGGCGAGGACCAAATTGGCTTTTCGTACATTCAAGCGAACCTGGACAAAGGAACCAGGTGCAGCGCCTCGAAAGCGTATCTGCGGGTGAACAGGTTGAACCTGAACATCGTTACCGGCGCGACGGTCACCAAAGTTCTAATGGACGACAATAAACGCGCGTTCGGCGTCCAATTTATGCAGAACAACCAATCTAGGAGAGCCTTCTGCTCTAAAGAGGTCATTCTATCAGCTGGTACGATAGACTCCGCTAAGCTACTAATGTTATCTGGAGTGGGTCCCAAGGATCATTTAGAAGAACTCGGGATCAAAGTTGTGCAGGACTCGAAGGTCGGGTACAATATGTACGAACACGTCGGTTTTCTCGGATTGACGTTCATGGTGAACCAACCTGTGTCGTTGCTACAAAGTAGATTAGCAAGACCAAGTGTGTTCGTGGAATACTTCCTGAACAGAAACGGTCTGATGTCGCTTCCAGGAGGAGCCGAGGCACTAGCATTCGTCAGAACGAAATACGCGCCGGACAGCAGACCGGACGTTGAACTCTTATTCGTGTCGGGATCCTTGCACTCTGACGGTGGTATACCCTTGAAAAAAGCGCTCAGGATATCCGACGAGGTCTACAACACCGTTTACAAGCCTATCGAGAACAGGGACGCCTGGTCTATCTGGCCTATCATGCAAAACCCCCGGAGCGTCGGTAGGCTGACCCTGAGATCGAAAGACCCATTGGAACCGCCTAAAATAGAGCCGAACTTCTTCTCGCATCCGGCTGACGTGGAAATAATTCTGGAAGGGATCAAACACGCGATCAATGTCTCGAGGACAGCTTCTTTTAAGAAATACAATAGCAAACTGCACGATATCAAAATCCCTGGATGCAAACAGTTCGAATTCGCCAGCGACGACTATTGGCGATGCGCGATTAAACACTTGCCGTCGATGATGAACCACGAGATCGGCACTGTGAAAATGGGCCCTAAAAGTGATCCTTACGCTGTCGTAGACCCAGAATTGAGAGTGTACGGTGTCCAAGGTTTGAGAGTCGTGGACGCTTCGATAATGCCCGCTATGCCAACGGGACATGTGAACGCTGGCATTTATATGATAGGCGAAAAGGCGGCTGATATGATTAAACAGGCCTGGCAATGAACGATTGCGATGGTGCTGAAGGGGAGGTCTTAATCGAAGCAAATTGTGATACGATGGCTCAAGTGCATTTATTCTCGCTTCAATGCCAGTATTGTTCCTGGAATGTCAATATGGGTTGCCACAAGGCGCGACCACGCAAAATTTTTTCCTTATAGGAAACCTGATTCTCGTCACAATATTTGTGATCATCTTCAACATCTGACAAACTTGGGCCTCTTGCATTCTCTTTGCACGGCATATCCCCCTTTTTTTTTTTGGTAAAATGTTTCTGTAAGGTTGCTGATTATGCGTCTGAATTGAATGGAACAGCCTGTATGACGTAGGTATCTTACTGTAATGTGTTAAGTAGATTGCGGATTTTTATGCGAAATCACATTTTAGAAGGTTCCTCACGAGGACAAAAACAAAAGTAGGAAGTTCTTTCATTCATTAAGTATTTTATTGGGATCGAAAGAAAATAGAAAATCCGTTGCATCTGGCGAAACTTTTGTCCTTCATTGTATTTCACACACACTTATTAAAATCCGCAATTTAGTGATAAGTAGTAATTAAAAAGACGTATTCGCTTCGATACAATTTTCACCAACAACGAGTTACATGTCGAAGGAGTTAGTTTTCTTTCGTGAAACTAACAATTCTTTTCCCTGACATATTTTCATTCGATCAAGAAATAAAAGAAGCAAATACATACATCGAAAAGGTTTTGCAAAACTGATCTTGCAATTTAATAAAATTAGCTTTCTCTGGTTAATAACAATTATCTTGCAAGAAATTTAAAATAGTTAGCCCAGATAAAACAATAAAGTTGTTCAAATAATGTTTACGGAGAAATGTACACCGTATAGTAGTAACGCAGAACCTTTTTTTATACATAAAAGGTACTATAGGTCTGATATGATATAACAAAAAAATAGGGAATTTCTCGTTCACAAGTATAACTTGAACATAGGGGGTAAAAATTCCTTCGCGTACGAATTTTTGGGGACATCGAATCTGAATATTTATTGGACACGCGTGCCACTAAGTGGGTCATGGCTAACGTGTCTGTTCATAAACCTGCCGTTTCTACTTTTTAATCACGAATCCAGGCGTATTGAATTATCAAATTCTAGAAACCTAAACATTATGTGAAAAAATTGTAAACTACATTTTCCATTTACCTTTTCATGAAAATCATTTATTAAATATTATTTCACTAAAGGTTTCATTCATTGTCATTTATTCTATTTCCTGTTGATACCTTCATCAACAATTATAAAGATGTTTATAGCGATTAAAAATAAACGAACTACTCTTCGTATTAAGCTACCGATTAATTGTTAAGATACAATAAATTTTATTGATTTCCAATGATATTTTTCTCACCACGTTTGATAATTTACAATTATTTAGCAATATATTTTCGGTTACTGTTAAACACAGTAGCTATTTAAGCAATAATTAATATACCAACACGTTCATGGTACGGTCGGCAATTAAAGTCGTTTACTTTTAAAAACCACTTTATATAATATCCTTATGGAGTACAGTAATTTTGTATGTAGAGTTAGATGAGAGATAATAAATAATTTACGTATATAACATGTTGCACAAGAGTCGAGCGACCAGGATCGTTATTTGTTTCACCGAAGGAAACTTTATGGGTAAAACCATGCCAGTACATCAGCGATGACGTAAAACGGAGGATGAGTCATGCTCCGCCTTTCGATACACTTCCGTGTAAAATTCGGGGAAAAGGCGGTCGATCGAATAACTATCGTTGGTATACGTTTACAGTACATTTAGTTAATTAATCGCTAAATAATTTTGAGTATATTTGCAACTGTCGTTTAAAAAAATGGTAAACACGGTTTTTCGAAAAAATTTGAAAACGTATAAAAAACGTAATTATTTATAACATTTTTCATCTTCATTTCAGTTCTCACTGTGTACACTAATTTAATTAAAACTACTTACGAAAATAATGTTGATATAAAATTTAGTTAAAATGTGTGGATTTATTTTTGCTGAGTTTATTAAAGGTGAATTGATGATGAATAAGATATAAAATATTTATCATGTATATACATGAAATATAATATGCTTTTATGTGTACAATTATAATTTATGTGCAAAAGAAGTTACAAATTATTACTCCAACAGCATTCACTCGAACATATTTATCATTTTGATAATATATGTACTAGTAGATTAGCAGTTCCTCGCATACATACACACTTACAGATTGTTAACCCTTTGACCTTATTTCTAATTGCCAGAATTAGATCACGCACGTATATGTAACTTAATTGATTTCACCTTGAGATTATTTAGCACAAAGTCATTATTTTTTACTTAATTGTACAGACGCATTAAAGATATGTTAATTTTGAGTACTGAAGCACTTAAACGGTAACTTGAACAATGCTTATTCTTGTTGCTATTGTAAAACCATCAATATAGTTCAATACTTGAGTAATCGATCATCACTTGCTTAAATTACAAAATGTATAAACTTTGTCAATGAGATTATCATTATTTAATATTTGTATTTGTTGTATTTATGTTGACAAATAAAGTAAGACTTAAAACATTACTATATCCATACTAAAATTCTATTACTTTTTCACTTTTTCGTTAATAGCAATGTTAAATCAACTTTGGAATATTATAATTTATATGCAAATCGAATGAATTTATAACAGGAATACTTATAACAGCAATGCTTATTTCTTCTTTTTTTATTAAATCTATTCATTGAAGTAGTGAGCATTGATTTAAATACTGTTTCCTTAAACTGGTTCATAGAAATGTATATTTACATAAACATTGACAGTCTAGTTGTAAAATAATCAATAGATCAGACTTGACCATCTTCATTGTTAAAAAACTGTGCGTTCTTTAAATGGATAAAATCAGTAATTCAATAATTTGTGTTAATTTTTCCTGTGTTTGCCTGTACTGTTCCAATTGAGTATCCTGTTTACATATACGCTTAATAAGTATATTTGTGTATGAAACTAAAATCAAATATGCTGTAGTAACGTTGACGATGTAATTTCAGAAGTTTATTAATGAAATTTGCGAGTTATTACGAGTTTATGATATATTTAAATACTTAGTACAAAAATTTTGTAGAAACGAAAGAGCGTCTGATACTGCTGATCTTTCGAAGCCGGTAATGTAAGTATGTAGAAGCTCCGAAAAAGAATCAAGCGTGGCAGCTCTAGGTGATTATATTGCATCGCTTGACCAAATCATAAAATAATATGTATTCTCTACTGATTTGCGTACCTGATACAACGAGAGCTTCGTTTGGGCCACAGGTGTGAACGTTTCCCATTTTCAGATTAACTCTTTTTCAACGAAGATGCAACAATAAACCGGCACAAGCAAACAATCAGCACTAACACCGTTACCACTAACACTAATTTGTATAATAAATCGGCAGTGAAAGTATAAGAATTATTTTAAAAACCCCGGTAAATCTGCAATAACATATAAACCGTATCAACCACGCGTCGTAAGGTTACGAAGCTACTCAAAGCCACTACCCAAAATTATTTGTAGCTTTTACAAAACCCTAGTTTGTGACACTACCAACTTACGAGCTTGCATGCGCAGCGACATCTCGGAACGACAGATCTCTAAATTACTGACTTGTCAAAGTTAAATTTTATTCAACTATTATAAATCATTGAAATATTTTATTTATTACAGCTAGTGTAATGAATTGTTACTTCAATCGATACAAAAGCGATTTTGTAATATATAAAATGTATTTTATTTATATGACATCTGTGTTATAGCGATACTGATTGCTTTTTTACATAACTTCAATAAGATTCACTATTTCTTTAGTGAAATTATTGGTTGACAGCTGAAAGCTCGATAAATTCATTACATTATTTATACAAAATATGTAATTATTTTGTAACTGTTATGTTGTCGTAGTATTTTTTGTTACATTCGAAAATGTTGTCATAGTATGAGCTTAACTTATATGCAAGATTGCATGCTTTATCATTTGCCTTATCTATTATGGTAGCACTGCTTAGACGCCATTAAAGGAATGTACGCAGATTCGCGAGAATACAACACAACATAACTGAACATAACCTGCGATAACTATTAAGCGAGTTATTTTGATTTATTTCTACATGTCACAAATGACATACTAAGTATTACAAAATCAAAATTATAAAATTTTCTTTATATACAGTATTAATAAACGTTGATAATATGTCGGAAGACGAAGTAGAAAGCTTCGAAATCACAGACTATGATCTTGACAATGAATTCAACATTAATCGTCCCAGACGAAAATTATCCAAGAAACAACAAATGCTTGGTAAGAATTTTATATTAGTAATTCTTCTATTATCGAAAAATATTAACATACTCTCTTTACAATTATTATGGGTATTGATTTCAAATACTAACCAAAACTGCATTATTTTAGGTATTTGGGCAGATGATAGTGATGAGGAGGAATTACCTGCTAGACCGTCGTTTAAAACTTTTGATAAAGGACCAAAAAATTATACAGCCCCTGTTAATTTTGTAGCGGGTGGCATTCAGCAGGCTGGAAAACCAAAAGAGGAAAAGGAAGAAAAAGATGAAGATGATAGTGACAATGAAAGTATAAATAAGTCGCAAAGGGAATTTCAGAATAGTTCAAGGTAATAGATTTGATTCACAGACACTATTGTTATTATACTAATGTAAATGTTCTAATAAACTCGTAATTTTATTATTTTAGTTCTGAAGATGAACGGCCAAGTATGGGATTATTACGTACATCTTTTTCTTTAAACACAGATGGAGATATTGCTGGTTTACGTAAAAAGAAAAGTAAAGTAAATCCTTTACTTATTCACAGTGGTATGGGTAGTTGGGAGGTCCATACTAAAGGTATTGGAGCTAAACTGTTGTTGCAGGTATGTATACGAAGTACTGTATTATTCATACTTATTATTAAAGCAATATATTTTAAATAACCTATTAATGGTTTAGATGGGCTTTGAACCGGGTAAAGGTTTGGGCAAGCAATTACAAGGTATAAGTGCTCCAGTAGAAGCACATTTGAGAAAAGGCAGAGGTGCTATTGGTGCTTATGGTCCAGAAAAATTTCCAAAAGTTCCGGAAAAGAAAAAGGAAGAAGATTCAGAGGAAGGAAAAGACCCCAAAGCTAAGTTATCACAGTGGCGGAAAGGAGATAGTAATGCAACAAAGAAAAAGGTCAAATATGTTTATCGAAGCGTAGATCAGGTTTTAGAAGATGGAAAATTAAAACCAAATAAGAAAGTGAGAGTATCTAATGAAATGAGCAGAGTTAAAGTTATTGATATGACTGGTCCAGAACAAAGAATTCTCAGTGGATATCACGCAATAGCTGGTGGTCAACAAAGGCCTGATGAAAATGTTGTGATTACTGATAAGAAATCAAAAGTTAATTTTTCATTACCAGAGCTCCAACACAATTTAAACATACTCGTAGACATGTGTGAACAAGATATAATACAAAACGATAGACGAACTAGACATTTAAGCGATAGGGTAGTTGCATTGGAAGCAGAGAAGAAAAATATATCTAAAGTTATAGAACATCACGGTCAACTTATCGATACCTTAGAAAATGTATTAGAAATTGTAGATAAATTAATGGACGAAACTAACCAGTTGTCGTTACAAGAGACAGCAGAAGCTTTCAGAGATTTGCAAGATAAATATTATGAGGAATATAAAATGTATGAACTTGATGAATTGGCTAGCAGTTTTGTTGGTCCAAAAATAAAGGACTGTTTAGCTAGTTGGAACCCTACAGTGCAACCGAAGCAGCCTATTAAATTATTTGAACAATGGAAGAGTATTTTGGAAAGTGGTACTACTACTCTTCAAACAAGGACTATGCATCCATATGATCAGCTTGTGTGGAACGCATGGATGCCATCAATTAGAGGAGCCGTACAGTAAGTTTCACTTTACAATACGTTATCAACCTTACAGCGGACGTGTATGTGTACTGAGTACTTACATGCGGGATACTTTATGCCAAACAGAACATTTGTGATTTAACGAAATACCGTTAGTTAACATTTCTGGGAACCTAATTGTTTTTCCTTTAGTCACAATTTTTCTTGCATTTTTCGCAGTATCTACATTTAAATTTAGTTTGTAAGCATCGCTTATTAAGATAACGAAATGGACTCCGTGATACAAAACTTGTAACGTTTATTAATTTTCATTTCAGGCAGTGGACTTGTAGACAACCAGAACCACTTATCGAATTGATAGAATACTGGATACCATTGCTTCCAGGTTGGATATTAGAAAATATTTTAGATTTGTTGATACTTCCGAAACTTACATTGGAAGTAGAAGAGTGGAATCCTCTTACAGATACAGTACCTATCCACACGTGGATTCATCCGTGGTTACCATTATTACGTATGTGTACATGTTAATACTTCTAATTTAACTAAATGTTACTGTAATTAATTGACATTGAACGTATTGTATCGTTGTAGGAAATCGATTGGACACTTTAATATATCCAATAATACGCCGTAAACTAGGTTCTGCATTGGGTGGTTGGCATCCATCCGACAGATCGGCGAGATTAATGTTACAACCGTGGGCGAATGTTTTTACAAAAGGAGATATGGAAGCGTTTTTAGTGAAAAATATTATACCAAAATTGCAGATAGCACTTTCAGAATTTGTTATCAATCCGCATCAGCAGCATTTAGATCAATGGAATTGGGTATACGAATGGAAAGATTTAATTCCACCTCACATAATGGCAAACTTGCTTGATAAATTCTTCTTTCCGAAATGGCTACAAGTTTTGGCTCTATGGTTAAACCATTCACCGAATTATGATCAAGTTACAAATTGGTATATGGGATGGAAGGGCATGTTAAGTGAAAAAATATTGGCTGAAACTGCAGTGAAGGGTAAGTTTAATATAACATTAAATCCTATATATGTTGGGACCTATTATATTTAACTCATAAACTTACGTCGTTCTGAATATTATAAATTTGTTTTATAGAACATTTCAAAAAAGCATTAGACATGATGAATAGAGCAGTCAGTGGACCACAGAGTCATCCACCTGGAGCAATGGAACAAGTGTCGTACTTGACAAGCTTAGAAAGAACTCAGCCTACAATGTCACAAATGCCACCAAACGCCCAACCGAGAATGGAGGTATGGTCAAATTCGTGGAATTTATCTTGGAATTTTTTTACAAACATTTTTTACAAACATTACAATACAACATTTTTATTTTTGCAGAGGCTCGCAGAAGCAGTCAGAACAGCATCTCAAATACCTCAAGGTTTCAAAGATCTTGTTCAAAAGAAATGTGAAGAAAGGGGCATTTTGTTCATGCCTATACCGAACCGGTATAGAGAAGCAAAACAAGTTTACAAGGTGGGTAATGTCCAAGCTTATATAGACGGAAATGTCTTGTTCGTATGTCATAACGGTATGAATTGGTTGCCAACGCATTTAAATGCATTACTAGATATGGCAGAACTTTAAGAATAACAATATTCTAACTTTAGAATATTACTAGCATTAAATTGTACATGTAATTATTTATTATGTACATATACTGTAAAATATTGTGACATTGAAATTTCGAAGATACGTATAGTTTGTAAAGCAGTTGTCATTTTTGTACGATCTATGCTGTATAATATATTATTTTATTAGAATATTACATAGAAATAAGTACTACATTATTTTACAATTAAACATTTATTGAGTTTCAATTAAACTCACAGTTACATATGGAAATAATTATACGATGTCTAATTAATATCATCTAAGAACGACACAGATACAAATCGTTATAAATGTAACTACTTCATCGCTTCCAACTTCTCGATCAAAATAGAATCTACTCGTACGCCCGTATAAACTCCTCATCGTTAGTTCTGTATATAGTCTTGCTCCACACATTATACCCACAACATGTATCGAGGCGCTCCATCTGAAGCGTTGCTATTTATTCCCATTCGAGAGAAGAACATCTCTTTTCTTCGACGGTACTCCCGGTATTCACGTTTCACGAATGCAGCTCCGTATTCGCGGATGTTTGTCTTATTGACCACTTCTGTTGGAAGTGGTCGAAGTCGAACGCGTGTAGGCGCCCCTGGTTATCCCACTACCGAGGTGCAGCTATAAAACTCCTCAATATGGAAAGTTGCACGTGATCCTGTGGAGTCGTACGTATGTACCTACAGAGTCGTCCAATAGGCACCGTGTACCAACCACCACGATGTGTGCTGGCTCTGTGTACCATCCATGGGCGCCACCATGGACGAAGCGAATGCGTTTCCAGACTTCTCCAATTTCTCTACGTGGACCATACTTCATATGCAGTTTCTAGGCCAGGAGGATCTGAACGCTGTGGTCATACATGTATTTTATAAGTTTATATTAAAACTGGTAATCAGGACACTCGTGACACACCATGATCGATTATCCAGTCGTCATTAATAAAGATCTGTGGTGTCAACCTGTAGACGTGTCATCTTATGGTAATCAATTAAAACCATTGTGAATAGTACCATCCTCTAATAGCAATTGTATTATTTTATCGTATTCTCTTGAAAAGACGTGCCTATATAATTGGCATAGAAATAAAAAAAACAGTAGATATTTACTAGACGGCGGGCTTCACGTATCTGTAAGTGCAGTGGAACAAAAAATTTAAATAAAACAAATTGTGTTTTTGTATGGTATTTAATTTGATACATCTAATTATACAGGATGTCTCCGAAATGGCAGTACAACCCGTAATGATGTGATTATACATGCAAAAATTAGTCGAAAATGTAGAATAATATTTTTTCGTACGATGCTTCGTTTTTGAGATAATCAATTTTTAAAATTCATCCAACGCGTATGCATTCGTTCGTAGTGGTAATAAGTAGAAACAGAATACAATGAACAGACGCGTCACCAAAGTCCTATTCAAGTCCACGTGTATCCAGCAGATTTTCAAATTCGATTGTCTTAAAACCGAAACATGGTATAAACAAAATATTACTCAATATTTTCGATTTATTTTTGTATGTAAAATTATATCCTTCCGGGTTGTACTACCATTTCGAAAACACTGTATATGCAGGTAAAGTAAATCCTTGTTCGATTATGGTTCTTGTTAAATAATTTGTAAAAATAAGAATTTACATAGACATCCGCTGTTTAAAATTAACCAAGTGGTAAAAATTAATACAATGAAGTGATAAGTAGTTAAATTTGCAAATTCTTTAAAGTAAAAATGAAGCCTCAGTTAAATTTACCTACACGTGACAGAATAACGTCATTTCTTAGGAGAAAACTGTGTCAAGTTGACACAAGGGACGAATGAGGGTTAAACAATTCCTAAATATTATTTTCGAAAATGTATTCATCTGACGACAAAAAACTAAACTAGGTACGATACGATGCCATATGGAATATTCAGGCTCTTAAGTTATAAATGCTAATAATTCCACATGGAATCTTACGACCGGAAAGGATTAATTATAATAAACGTCAGCTGGGAACGAATGTTTCGAAAAAAAACCACTGCATTTCTGACGCGTTGAAATTGTAGAAAACATACGATAGTAGCAATAATACACCCAGATAGCAGATGACGCCTTAAAGACGCCTATTTTACGGCTATTTTAGGTCTAAGGCGTCTTTAAGCCGTCTTCAAGGCGTCATGTGCTATCTGGGCACATACATACGTTGAAGCGTCTATAAATTGTATTGCAGGATTTAATATTCCAGTACTATGTCAACCTTTCAATTTCATCTATTTTTATCCGTTATAAGTAGATTTTCGTGGGAGCCAAGCGGCAACGAACCGGGAAACAACCTTTTCCATTTAACAAGTGGCAGTTTTTGCATTCCTCCCTCGGACGAATAAGTCTCTAGGTGACGCCTATGGCATCACCACCAACACCGTCCCGTCTCGCGCGAGTAGAGGACTGGTCCTATAAGAGGATGGACATCTCTCGCCTACACGCCTAACAGATCTGTGCTCTCGGGTGTCGAGAAAATTTGCATCGGATCGGAGTGTGTCTCTGCCTAGTAACTGGTTGCCTTTACCTCTACGGACTCGCGGCCGGATTCGAGACACGGTCCCTGCACTGTCCGACTGTCTGTTGCGTGAAAGTGTGTGTGTGTGTGTGTGTGTGTGTGTGTGGTTGTGTTTGCTGTATGCATACGCGACGCGCTGGAGCACTTGTCCCGTCGCGAACCTCGCCAGATCTTTAACGTGTATCGTATTCAGAAAGAGTCTAGGGCTCGGTCGTCGCTCGACGAAAAAAAATATTAGGCCGTCTTAGTAGCAATTACTGTTAGCATTTTGATGGGCCTTTGATGCATTATTAGTTGGCCAACAATTAGAATTGTCACCCTTTTTTGCAACTGGGGTAACAGTCATACCCAAGTAACCGATTGAAAATTGGTTTGGGTCGAATCGACCCAGTGTGACAATTACGTTCGAAAAAATAGTAGAAATCCTTCGTTTTAGATATTTTAAGTGTCCTCGTTTCTGAATTAGTGAAATGTTGTGCATGGTTAAACGATGCGAGGATATATTTTTAGGGATTTTCTTTTAAAGATGTTGCGGGAATTCGTGTCATAGATGTTTGTATGCTCGAAATAATATGGTAGGGAGTTTCTTTTATCGAACTTTGAAAAGTTCGAAATGGAAAGTAGTTGTAGAATGCTGGAACGATGTTTGTCCTTGTTGGTCGAATATTTAGCGTTTTTATAAAATTTTATAAAAGCGTTGTAAATCACATACATCGTTTTGGTATTAATGCAGATTGAATTTGAAGGAAGTGAAATTACTTGAGCAAGTCAAGCATTTAATGGCAGCACCATTGGGATTGCGCCATCATATCGCGGTGAATGAAGTCTCCTTGATAACAGGTGAAAGAGCGGACCTGCATCCATCGTGCAGCCATTGCGTTTCCAGTGGAACGCTTTTATGCACTTGAAAGAATTGAAATTTCCTGGAAGAGAGTAATGGCGTTCCACTTACGATAAAGTGATTCCGCTTGGGTCACTATTACGAGGATATTTGCGTGCAAAAAAAAACCCTGTTATTTTACTCTTTTATAGTTATCCAGGGAAATCTATACAAGTTTTCTCCTTTCATATAAAGTATTACAAGACTTTCATAGAAACGATCGCAATAATTTACAGTTCAGCACGTTAATGTTAGAAAACGATAGAATTTTCTACGTTTAACTGTTCGCTTGTAGCTTTAAACAGAACCGTATACGTTCCTAACCACAAATCACTTCTTCTTTGTCTTTTTTACCTTGGTACCGCAGCTTTTACATACCATTTAAATTTGAACCTGAATATTTAAAATTAAAACCTTGAATTTTCCAAAATCAGAGAGATTTGGTCAAGGTGAACAAAAAAAACACTATGTATAAGTATATTACATGGAATTTTATTCAAGGACATTCAGGTACTCGGTCCAAGTATACGGAATTACAGGTACGGGGTTGGAGGTGTCAATGATTTATTATTGCCATGGCCAATTCACGCCGCGTAAATGGTTCATTAGAGGGGTCGATGGCCTGAAATAGGTGGAACATTCACAGACGTATGTTTTCAGTAAAACGTGATCGCGCCCAAACATTCCAATCCCACGCAAATCGCCGTCCCTAAGTCCCTCCGCGAAATGCCAGGTACTCAAACATGGGACAGACCGAACGTCAGAACAATTTCGCGATCGATATTCGCCGGTCACGTTCCTAAATAGGTAGAAAGTTATTTATAATACCGGAACACGTTATTGGAACGACGGCAGTTTGCATGAAATTCACGATCGGAGACAGAGGATAATATATGTAATGATTTCTACGATTGTCACGAATATTACGGAAGAAAGTTGAGGTGAGCCAAGCATAGATTTGAATCTTTTTAACAGTTTCGTTCCTGAATTATTTCACAATTACAACAACAAAATTTTGTCTGTGTTACATGACATGTAAATGTGAATCACAAGAACATTTTAATATATTTTAAGGGGTTTTGCATTTTTGAGTTATTAAATAAGAGGGAAAATTAAGAAATTTTGTTGTACATGCAGATTTATTGTCTATTAAACATTCAACATATACATGTTATTATATGTTATTCCCTTAGTAATTTCTGAGAAATTGGCCGCTGAAAATGGCTGCCATTTAATTATAGCCTGTTTCATTAAAACACCATCTGTGGTACCAAATATATCTCTGTGAGTTTTTATCTGAATGAAGTTTCTTTAAATTTTACATTAAAGTAGGCAAAAGGGACTAATTAATTGTCGAAGTTGATTTTGAAAATATCAGTATTTTACAAAATGTCGGCTGTTTGAATTTCAACTTTTTTTAACTTTTAACGAAAGGGTTAAGAATAACAATAAATCTCGAAAGGTTGGTCTTGTGTTTTTCTGTGATACAAAATCTGTATTCTGAATTTTATTATGGCATTCCATTGCAAATGTTTCTACGGTTGTATATATTTCAGGTGAA